GAGGGAGGGGCGTTGCAGAGTGAGTCCAGCGGGCGCCTCGGGCCCCAGGGGCAGCCGGCGCTTTCAGCCAGTGGGGCCTTCAGGTCCTGGAGAGCCCCAGGCCTGCTGCCGTGGCCCGCAGGCCAGCAGTGTGGCCTCGAGTGAAGCCAGAGGGAGGTCAGCATGTGGCACGCACACGTGTCACCCTGACATCACCACCACTGGCACAGTGAGGGCCACGCCAGGCTGTATCCTCGGCAGTAGCTCTGCCGGGAGGAAGTCGACAGTTCGACTTCAAACACAGTGACGCAGGCCCCGCCCCGCCTGCACCCCAACCCAGCCTGCCGCCCTGCCCTCTTCCTCCTTGAGCAAGTGGGACACAGCCTGAAGCCTCACCCACAGGTGCTCAGTTCGCGGAGGCCAGGAGGAGCAGGCTCCTGGGTCCTGGGTCGCCTGGTCTGCTCTGGGGAGTCACGTGGCTCAGGCGGGAGCCTGCTCTGGGCCGGCCCTCAGTCCCACCGCCACTGCCTCCCGCTTCTCCCGGAGCGCCCGGCCTGGGCCTCCCCAGATCCGGGATCCTAGCCCAGCCCTAGCTCTGCAGCATCGCCAGGGGCCCAGCAGCACCGGTGCCTCCTGGACTGGGACTGGGTCGCCTGGTCTGCTCTGGGGAGTCACGTGGCTCAGGCGGGAGCCTGCTCTGGGCCGGCCCTCAGTCCCACCGCCACTGCCTCCCGCTTCTCCCGGAGCGCCCGGCCTGGGCCTCCCCAGATCCGGGATCCTAGCCCAGCCCTAGCTCTGCAGCATCGCCAGGGGCCCAGCAGCACCGGTGCCTCCTGGACTGGGACGTAACCGTGCCAGTGCTCTTGAGTGGAGCGGGCAGAGAGCAGGAGAGGGCTGCCCTGAGGGCAGTGGGAGGTTGGGGGCATAGCCTCCTGTCCTGCCCCACCCAGCACCGGGTTCTGAGCCTGTTACAGGCCTCTCGGCCCTGAGTGTCCCAAGGGTGTGACAGCCACAGCTGCAGCTAGGCCCAGAGGCGTGGCGGGCGTGATCAAGAGGAAGGGTCGGGGCCTGGGTTCCAGGCTGTCCTTGGCCCTGCACTGTGTGCCACTGGCAGAGTGTGGCGGTGGGGAGTATGGAAACCATGTGTGTGCATCTGGGCCTCTGTCACTCTCGGGGCCCTGCACACTGCCCTCCTCATGTGTGGTGCTTGGCCGGTGTGCACGTGTGCTCCCGTGGCCATGTGTCCACGGCAGGAGGTGCTGTGCGGGACACCTGGATGCGGCCCTCGGCCCTCTGCACCCCGACGAACCCCACGGGGTGTGGAGCGAAGCCCAGTCCTGGAGAGCTCCTGGCCAGGTCTGCAGGAGTCAGGAGCGTGCCCTGGGGACCAGAGGGGCACATGGCTCCAGGCGCAGACATTTGTGTGATGGGATGGTGATCTCCATCCGGGGATCACGCCCGTGAAATGCTCCCAAAGCCATCGCCTTCCACAAGCTTCAAGCAGCCAGGGAGCAGATGAGACACGGTTCCGCTGTCGGAGGTAAACCGAGGCCCAGGGAGGAGCAGCCTGAGCGGCCAGGCCCAGGCCTCGCCAGCCTCTCGGTGGGCAGAGGAGCCCGGGATGGAGCCTCCACCCTCAGACACATAGCCCCAAGGGCGGGACGCTGCCAGGGCAGGGCCAGGCTGGGGGAGCGGTGTGGGCGCCCAAGCCGTGTCCAGAAGAGTGGCCTGAGCACCAGCCCTGGCCCTGCGGCCTCCCACCTGAGACACAGGAAGGGGCCCATGGCCTCCTGGGTGACTTCTCAGCTGAAGGGCTCCAGCCACTGGCCCTGGCCGCTCTGCAGGTGCCGCTCTGCCCAGAGGTCTGAGGGGCCAATGAAGCCAGGCCTGGGCTCAGTGTGTGCTGGGTGTGCTGTGCACCCAGCGCTCAGTGAATAGCAAAAGCGGCTACAACCGGGCGGCAGGACAGGCGGGCCCGGCGGGGAAGGGTCGCCCAAGGCCACCGTCCAGCTCTCTTCACACTGCGTTTACTCCTCTGAGAGCCGGGGGACGGAGGCAGGCATCCCCGGCCAGCTCACAGAGGAGGACAGGCCTTGGAGCCCAGAAATCAGCGCAGAGTTCCTTACCCATCTGGGGCCACTGCGGAGTGCTGCACAGGAAGTCACGGTGGCCAGGGCTCCAGGGTGGCCAGGGCAGGTGGCCAGGGTGTGTGGGGCACCTTCAAAGGGGCAGGTGGGGCCTCAGCAGGAGGCGACGTCCCCTCTGAGCCTGAGCTGGGAGGAGCAGCCAGGCAGAGAAAGACAAAGAAGGTTCCCAGCAGAGGGGCCGACAGGGCAGAGGCCGGGGGCAGGACAGGGCGTCCAGCAGGAGTGCCCAGTGGTGAGGCCAGCCAGCCACTGCCCAAGCTGCAGAGCTGAGGCCTTCGAGGCACTGAGTACCAAGGATCGGGGTCCCCACACCTGCCCCCCGCAGGAAGGGAGGCTTTTAAGGGGCAAAGGGGCTGCAGAGCCCTCAGGTCACCCTGCGTGGCTGCACCAGTTGCAGCATCCCCAAGGACCAGGCAGAATTCAGCTCCACCGGGCAAAACGAAGCGTCTGTGTACCCGTGTGTGTGTGTGTGTGTGCACTCTGCCCTGTGGAGGGCTTTGGAGCAAGGCAGGTCCAGTCCGGCTCCCACATGGCCACCCAGAATGCATCTCGGCAGAGACAGGCTCACTGTTGATGGCCCGGCGGTGACAGGCGGGTGTGGGGACGCAGGGAAGGAGAGGGACCAGACCCGGCCTGCAGAACCTGCGGAGGCCCAGCGGGAGACGGAGCAGGGCGGTAGGGTAGGCTGTGAGGCGACAGAGAGGCTGGGGTCTCCCAGGGACAGCGGTGATGGGTCCCAGGGAAGGACAGTGTCCCCGAGGCCTGAGCGCCACCCCCGAGGCACAGGGGGCAGTGTGCCCACCTCTTGGCCCTCAGCACTGTCCCTGCCCGGCCCAGATGCCCAGGGGAGGCCGGGGGCCCCAGCCACTGCAGGCAGACGGTAGGCTGTGAGGCGACAGAGAGGCTGGGGTCTCCCAGGGACAGCGGTGATGGGTCCCAGGGAAGGACAGTGTCCCCGAGGCCTGAGCGCCACCCCCGAGGCACAGGGGGCAGTGTGCCCACCTCTTGGCCCTCAGCACTGTCCCTGCCCGGCCCAGATGCCCAGGGGAGGCCGGGGGCCCCAGCCACTGCAGGCAGACAGTGTCCAAGCTCTGTGCTCCCCACGCCACCCCAGAAGCGTGCGGTCCCCTCCCCACCCAGAGCCTGGATCTTTGCACACGGCAGGAGGTGTGACTCAGTTTCCTCATCTGGAAAATGGACCTGTGTCCACCAGAACAGGGTGCAAGCGCACGGGGGTGCAATGCCGGGAGCACAGGGGACAATGGGCTTGGCTGCAGGCCCAGTCAGTCAGACGCCAGGTCACCAGCCGGGACAAGAGACCGCTTACGCTGACCCGACGCACCCTTCGCCTGCCGCGGTCCTCCTTCCTCGCCCGTGCTTCCCAGAAGTCCTGACACAGCTTTGAGGGTCGCTGCTGTGGGGATGCTCCTGCCGCTGACCGTCTTGCTGCAGCTCCCGTGGCGAAGACACAGGCTTCAGGAAGGCCACAGTGCGCCCAGGCCAGTACTCTCCGGGTGCAGGAGAAAGAAAGGGCTAAGAGCTGGCAGATCAGAAAGCCCAGGGGCCACCTGGGGTATCCAGGACACCCTATGCTCTAAAAACTTTGGGATCTGGGATTTAAAAAGGAAAACAAAATGAAGCCTTTAAAAAACTGGCTCAGTGAGGGGGTGGTGGCACACGCCTGTAATCCCAGCACTTGGGAGGCTGAGGCAGGAAGATTGCCACGAGGTCCAGGCCACTCTGGGCTACATACCACGTTCAAGGCCAGCCTGAACTACACAGAGAGACCCTGTCTCAAAAGCAAAACAGAGCAAAAAAACGGCTCAAAGTTTTTTGTTTTTGTTTTTGGTGGTACCAGGGATCAAACTCAGGACCTTGCCTTTGCAAAGCAGGTACAGCGCTACTGAGCTAAATCTTGGGCCCTCAAATATTTTTTTAAGCACTGTGCAGAGCAAATAAGACTAATCCATGGCAGGAAGCGGCCCATGAGATGCCCCTCTCCCGTCCTGTCTCTGTCTCTCTGGTCCGTCTCTCCCTCCCTGAGCCCTGCCTGGGCTTGTCCATCCAAGCCCTCTACTAGGGGCACTCGGAGGGCAGCTGGCAGGCAGGAAAGCCCCTTGGAGAAGTCTGCTGAGGACAGCGTGGGTGGCAGTATGGTGAGGTGATGCTTCTGTATTCCTGCCCCGCATGACCTCAAGGTCTCTGAGCAGGGCCCGGGCCTAGGCAGCTGGCATAAGCTAGAGGTGTCAGGGGACCCCAGCAGGCTGCACCACAGTCCGGGGGAGCCGGGGCTGCTCTGTCACCGGTGAGAAGCAGCTAAGAAACGAGAAGAGGCCTCTGACGATGGAGACCGGAAGTGCTGGACGGGGTCAGCCCTGCACGTCCTGCGCTGAGCTAAAGGCCAGAGCATAGTGTCTGGATAGAGCGCCGGCAGGGACAGCACAGAACTTCACCGCTGAGGGATAGGCCGGCGTCGGCACAGAGTGTGGAGGCCTCGGAGACAGGCGGCAGCACAGCCAGCTGTGTCGCTCCGGCCTCCTGGTCCACAAGAGGCCTAGGGACACCCACCTCGTGCACCGCAGAGGGCTCCGAGGGAGAGCGGCCTGGAAGAGGCAAGCGCTGCTGCGTGCAGGTGCCGTGACAGTGGAGGAGATGGAGACGGGACGGTGGTGGTGACCTCACAGATGGCGCAGGAGCAGAGCCCTGGGGACCGGACAGCCCGAGGGTGGCTCACTCCTCCGTCTCTCCCAGCCAGCTGGGCTGCTCTGCGTGGGGCCTGCGAGGCTGGCGGGTTCTCCACCCTCCACATCTCCTCCACACTTGGCACGGCAGGCCCATCCAGGTGGGGCAGAGGACACCGTGCCAAGCCAGGCCATGGTTTGCTCCGGGCCTGGGCACCAGCGAGCGTTGTCCCGGCGCAAGTGGCCATCTGAAGACGCAGCCTCCTGTCCGGCTGCCCTCAGCCTGGCACTCCTGCTTCCTCGGCAGTGGGGGTGCGTGGGGAGCAGGGCAGGGCCCTGCCTCCTCATCCTGCCAGCCCAGCCCTCTCCACCGGGCTCTGCTCGGGAGAACAACCAGACCCTCCCAAGGCCCACGACAGCAGGGAGGCAGTGACAGGATCTCGGGGATGGGACCTCCTATCCTGAGCCATCCTGGGGCACAGCTCTGCGCCCAAGGGGCCACGCGACTTCCTGTGGAATCCCCACCACAGCCCAGGCACCCAGCGAGAGCAGGCTGTGTAAACACCCAGTGACAGTTTCTCCTGAGGGAGGGACACACAGTCACTTCCTGTAGAAGTCAGCTTCTGTCGGGGTGGGTGCAGGCCCGTAATCCCAGCCCTCTGAGAGGCTGAGGCAGGAGGATTGAAAGTCTACATCCAACCTGGGCAATTTGAGCCATGTCAAAAGAAAACAAAAAAACTGAGGTTGCAGCTCCACGTTCAGGGCCTGGATTCGGTCCCCATGCTGTCCTGAGTGCCTCGCTCCAGTCAGACGGGCCTCAGGCAGTGGACCCCTGGGTCAGCAGCGGCGTCCTTCCATCCTTCACGTGTGTCCTGGCCGCTGCAGGAGCCGGACGTGGAGACAGCACGGCGCTCCCTGCCTTGGGAAGGGCGGGAGCATGGCGCTGGCGCCCCTCTCGGAGCTCCAGATGTGGAGCAGAGCCACGTGAAGGGCTCCAGACGGTCCCTGCTCCGGCCTACATTCTGCGATGACAAGGGCTGCTCCTCCGGGGGGAGCCTGGGGAAGCCCCGGGATGACAAGGCTGGGCGTGCTCAGCGGAGACGGGGGTCACCCAGCAGCACACTGAGGGAGAATCCACGTCTGCACGCGTTACCCCTAAAAGTGGATTTTTTTTGAGAGAGAGATGGAGGGAGGGAGGTGCTGATGGTTGCAGCCCACCCTGCTGACTTCACGTGCTCGCTTGGGGTGCCAGGCTGCAGAACGAAAGGGGGTCTGGGGCTCCTGGCTGGGGACAGCGGGGGCAGGGAGGGCACCCCACTTCCTGACCGTCCTCTCTCCTCTCTGCAGTCGCTTCCTGCCTCGGCTGGCCCAGCGGGGAAGACACGGGTAAGGAAGAGCACGTGGAGGGCTCGGCCGGGGGACTGTGGCTCCACTGGCTGGAGGGGACCCAAGATGCCCAGCACACGCATTAGGTCTCGGCCACTGTTATTAGGACATTTTATTTTGTTTTGTTTATTTTGGGGCGCTGGGGACACTAAACACATGCTGGATCCCTGAGCTACACCCAGCCCCACCATCCTAGGCAGGGAGCTTGAGCGCATGGATTTGGGCTCCTTCCTGGAGGCCCCAAAGCCAGTCTCCCACGAATACCGAGGGGCACCTTTTCCCTGGGGGAGCTGTGTAAGGTCACAAAGCCGCCCGGTGGTGCCTCTCCCAGGTCCTAACTGGGACAGACAGACACAGCCCTGAAGATCAGCTCACACAGGCAACCCAGACACGACCTGGCTGCACCGAGAGCTGGGGTGGCCGTGCTGAGGCTGCGATGGCACCCACAGAGACAGGAGCGGGCAGGCAGATGGTGCCACAGATCGAGAGGCCAGGAAAGGCCCACGGGCCCTCCGCCCGATTTCTGAGGCTCCAGGGAACAGCAAAACCCAACCCTCAGACAGAAAGCAGATCAGCAGCGCTAAGTCCGGGTTCGGGGCTGCAGGGACTCTGGGTGACGGCACGTGGCTGTCCACGCGGTGCTGCTTCCTGCTCACACACTCTCGTCAAACTATCCAGGGCTGCCCTTGATGTGAGGAGAGCATCTCACCAAGTGTGAGCTGTGCCCCTGAAGGTCTGACCGCAAAGGTTGAAGCGGTCACCTGGGTCTGTGGGACGGGCTACGGTGCCAGGCAGGAGGTGCCAGGCCTTTGGCCCCTGTTGGGCTCACCTCTGGCTCTGCGATACACAGCCCCAGCATGAGCCCCGAGTGCCACCAGTGCGGTGCCCACAGGGATGAGCTCAGTGGGCGCTGGGAGGCCGCGGCGGGCAGAAGGGCACCCGGGCAGGCCTGACGCCCCTCCTTCCACAGCCACAGGCTTCAAGGTGCGACTGGAGGGCTCCAGCTCGCAGTGCCAGGGCCGGCTGCAGGTCTACGCCCAGGACTCCTGGAGCACGGTGTGCGCACAGAGCTGGGGCCTGCAGGGCAGCTCCCCGCCGGGCCCGGGGCAGGCCTCCCACCTCTGCCGCCAGCTGCACTGCGGGGACATCTGCAGACTCGGCACTGTCCCTGCCTTCAACGCACCCCAGCCCCGGCTCCGCCAGGTCATCTGCCGAGGACCCCCAGGGTCCTTCTCCAACTGCAGCAGCATCCGCACCCAGAGCTGGTGCCAGCCGCTGGCCCTGGTCTGCCTAGGTGGGTCGGGGGACACCATGACCCCCAACCACCAAGGGTGAGGTGCTGGCCGCTGCCTGGCGGACGGAAAAGTGGAAGCAGCTGCTACCACTGCCAGCTCCCTCGCCCCGAGCCTCCCTCTCCGAGAGGCGGGCGCCGCCACCCCCGGGGG